TGGTGGCGGTGGAGAGCCGCATCCAGAATGGGAATAATTTTCTCCTCCAGCAAGAGGACTCTGGTGTTGTGTTGTTGCGATGTTGCGTTGTTGCTGTGTTGTTGTTGTGTTGTTGTTGTTGATGACACAGCTGTCCGGCAGGGGGACACGGGGTCACGACGAGGCACTCGTTTAGGGCCGAGGCGACCTGGGGGTGGGGGGTGGGGGGGTGGGGGTGGGGTGGGGGGTGGACCCCGCACGCACCCTGTCCAGGCTGTCGTCGCTCACGATCTGCACGCAGGCGCGGTCCGCAAACTCGGCGGCGAAGGCTCCTCCACCTCCTCCTCTTCTTCCTCCTCCCTCACCTCTTCCTCCCTCACCTCTTCCTCCTCCCTCACCTCTTCCTCCTCCCTTACCTCTTCCTCCTCCCTCACCTCTTCCTCCTCTCTCTCCCCCTCCTCCTACCGCCTCTCCCAGCCGCCTCCCGGCCTCCCGCAGCGCCACCCTCAACGCCGCCAGCAGCGTGGCCCTGGACCCCGACTCCCACGGCCAGACCCGGGCACCCGGCCCGGGCTCCCGGCCCCGGCCGGGGGGCTCCTCGGGGCCGTGAATCGTCAGCGTCGTGGAGCAGATGTGCCGGAGGTAGCGCGACCATCGCCCCTCCGCTCCCTCCTCCGCTGGTGAGCGGGCACCGCCGCCGCCGCCGCCGCTGCCGCCGTCGTCATCGCCGTCACCATCATCACTACCATTGCGACCATCATCCATGCCAACAGCACCACCACCACCACCGTCGTCGTCATCACCACCACCATCATCATCATCAACATCATCACCACCACCACAGCCACAACCACCATCACCATCACCACCGTCAAGCCGATCGGTGATGTCGCCCTGGCGATGGTGATGGTGACGATGTCGTTGATGGGGGAGGACGCCGGTGATGTCATTGTTGACGTCACTGTTGACGTCATTGTTGACGTCATTGTTGACGTCACTGTTGACGTCATTGTTGACGTCAACAGTGACGTCGTCCTGGATGCTCGTCGTCGGTGTTTGAGCGGCGACCTGGCCAACTGGGACACATCGACATCACCACCATCAACATCGTCATCGCCATCATCATCACCATCATCATCGCCATCATCATCACCATCATAATCACCATCATCATCATCACCATCATTAACATCATCACTATCATCAACATCATCAACACATCAACATCATCAACATCATCACCGTCAACCCACAGACTCACAGACTCACACACAGACCCATAGACTCACACACAGACCCACAGACTCACACAGGGAGACCCATAGACTTACACAGAGACTCATAGACTCACACACAGAGACCCATAGACTCACACAGAGACCATAGACTCACACAGAGACCCATAGACTCACACACAGAGACCCATAGACTCACACACAGACCCATAGACTCACACACAGAGACCCATAGACTCACACACAGAGACCCATAGACTCACACACAGAGACCCATAGACTCACACACAGAGACCCATAGACTCACACACAGAGACCCATAGACTCACACAGAGACCCATAGACTCACACAGAGACCCATAGACTCACACAGAGACTCATAGACTCACACACAGAGACCTATAGACTCACACAGAGACCCATAGACTCACACAGAGACTCATAGACTCACACAGAGACCCACAGACACACACAGAGACCCACAGACTCACACAGAGACCCATTCACTCACACACAGAGACCCATAGACTCCGTGTGCCCGTGTCTCCGTTTCTCCCTGTCCCAGTGTCTCCCTGTCTCCGTGTCTCCCTCTCCCAGTGTCTCCCTGTCTCCCTGTGTTCCCGTGTCTCCGTGTCTCCGTGTCTCCGTGTCCCCGTGTCTCCGTGTCTCCATGTCTCCGTGTCTCCATGTCCCCGTGTCTTCGTCCTCACGCTGTATCAGCCGAAACGGCTCCAGCTGCTGTCCCGGTCCCCGCGCTCTGTCCCCACGTCTCCCCACGCGGCCTCCGCCTCCACCTCCACCGCCTCCTCCACCGTCTCCTCCACCTCCTCCACCTCCTCCGCACGGCCTCGCCGCGTCTTCGCCGAGCTCTATCCACTGCTGCAGCTCCCTCGCTCGCTCGACCGCCCGCCCGGGGGGAGCCCCCCGGATCACCGCGACCGCCAGGGCCATGGAGAGCATGGGGGGCACACACACAGGGGGTGGGGCTCTGGGGGGGGGGGGGGGGGGGAGACGTTACCCACACCACGTGACACACACACCACGTGACACACACACCACGTGACACACACCACGTGACACACACACCACATTACTCACACCACGTGACACACACACCACGTGACACACACCACGTGACACACACACCACGTGACACACACACCACGTGACACACACACCACGTTACTCACACCACGTTACCCACACCACGTGACACACACACCACGTTACACACACCACGTGACACACACACCACGTGACACACACACACCACGTGACACACACACCACGTGACACACACCACGTGACACACACCACATTACCCACACACCACGTTACCCACACCACGTTACCCACAACAACGATAACAACCGCCATTCGCCACTAAGTGGCGGTGACGTCACCACGACGCTTCTGCCAGGCTATGTGCACCTTGAGGCCACGTGAAGTGTCGAACGCCCGCTGGCAGGAGGTCACAGGGCAGACCCAGCAGGTGCCACGGGTCGACTGACTGAGATGACTGAGATGACTGGCTGATGCACCACCTGTGCCCCCTACTGTGCCAACCTGCTGTGCTTTAGTCACCCGGTGCTCCGCTCGTTGTTGTGAGCGTCGCTCCTCCGCCCTCCATTGTTGTTGGAGGGCGACTGCCTCCAACTGCCCAGTAGCGTCTTTCACGAGCCTCCTCCACAGAGGCCGATCTTGACACCGCTGGTACCGGTCATCGGCAAGTCCACTCAGCTCCACGTCCTCCTGTACCACGTCACTCCATCTCTTCCCTAGCCCGTGCCGCGCCTGTTTAGCCCCCTCGATCCGGCCGAACAAAAGCTGTTTGGGCATGCGGTGGCTGGGCATGCGGGTTACATGGTTCAGCTAACGCAGCCTTGCCTGTCGGAGGTGCTCACCGATGGGACTTTGTCCAGATCTTTCGAGGATTTGTGAGCTCCAGACACAATCCAGCCTGGTTAAACCCAGGATTGATCGTAGGCAGGCCAGCCTAAATGTTTCTAACCGGCGAAGATGCTCCATTAGGGGGGTTCACGTTTTGCAAACATAGAGAAGGGAGGGAATGATCGTGGCCGAGAAGACCTGAAGCTACATGCGGAGCGACAGACCAGGTAGCTTCCACACAGCGTTACGCAAGCGATGAAAAGATATTGCCGCTCGACTGATTCGGAGTGAGACCTCTGCTGTTAAACCGGAGCCGGTCATGAGCACACTGCCCAGGTATGGGAAACTCTCCACTCTCTCCACAACTGCCCCATCACCGATTGGGAGCACCACGTTACCCACACACCACGTTACCCACACACCACGTTACCCACACACCACGTGACACACACACCACGTTACCCCCACACCACGTGACACACGTTACCCACACAACACGTGACCCACACACCAGGTGACACACGTTACCCACACACCACGTTACCCACACACCACGTTACCCACACACCATGTTACCCACACACCAAGTTACCCACACACCACGTGACCTACCTCGATTCCATGGCGCGCGCTGCCTCCCCGGCATACACACACCACGTGACCCCACCACTGTACCCACACACCACGTTACCCACACACCACGTTACCCACACACCACGTTACCCACACACACGTTACTCACACACACGTGACCCACACACCACGTTACCCACACACCACGTGACCCACACACCACGTTACCCACACACCACGTGACCCACACACCACGTGACCCACACACCACGTTACCCACACACCACGTGACCCACACACCACGTTACCCACACACCACGTTACCCACACACCAAGTTACCCACACACCACGTGACCTACCTCGATTCCATGGCGCGCGCTGCCTCCCCTGGCCTCGAGAGCTGCCGTAAACCGTATATTTTGGTATTGTGTTTTACGACACCAGCTGTAATTTTACGACACTCGACGTAAACACAGCTTGCCTGACGCCTGCCGCAAAGCCGAGGGTTTTTTTTACGACACCTGCCGTAAACCAGTGCGTTGTGTTTTACGACACCCTCCGTAATTTTTACGCCACTTCACGAGGTAATGAATTTACGACACCTGTCGTAAATCTCAGGGTTGTGTTTTACGACATCCGCCGTACATTTTTACGACACCTGCCGTAAGGTAAACGAATCTCTGAATGAACATCCCTTCAGGACGGTGATGAATCAATGATGAATCTATAACAGATCTATCATTAATCTATAAATAATCTATAGCAGATCTATACTTAATCTATAGCTACGACGGAGCAGATCAGCGAGGATCTCACAGCTGGTATCAAACAACCACAGTCTTGGGCAGGGCGTTCGTAAGTCGGGGACTGTACACTGCGTAAGATAAGAGTATTTTTTTTAAATAAATGTATAACACATTTATAATTAAGATGTAAGAGTATTTAGATGATTAGCTGACTGCCGACGTTAACGTTGAAAGCAGCCGGAGCAGACCGATGGGTAGCAACGCGTTCGTAAGTCGGGGACGCATACTTGTTAAGATTTAAGATAATTTAGATGATTTGGCTTGCGGCTTAATTGAACGTCCGCGGCCTTGAGCCATCTCCGTCGAAAGCGGCCGCAAGCTTCGTGGCAGCTACGACGGAGCAGATCGCCTTAATAAAACAAAGCCGCCGCGTCCGTACGTCGGGGCGTCCGTACGTCGGGGCGTCCGTACGTCGGGGCGTCCGTACGTCGGGGCGTCCGTACGTCGGGGCGTCCGTACGTCGGGGCGTCCGTACGTCGGGGCGTCCGTACGTCGGGGCGTCCGTACGTCGGGGCGTCCGTACGTCGGGGCGTCCGTACGTCGGGGCGTCCGTACGTCGGGTACCACATCTTGGGGAGATTCGAGATACGAACGCGGCGTCTGCCGTTAAGTGAAATTGAAGTTTGACTTCGAACTGGTGATGTTGGAGCGGTCTCCACGTTCCGGTGTCTCATCAGCAGCGTGTGGCTGTGGGGGTGTCGGGTGATGTTGGAGCGGTCTCCACGTTCCGGTGTCTCATCAGCAGCGTGTGGCTGTGGGGGTGTCGGGTGATGTTGGAGCGGTCTCCACGTTCCGGTGTCTCATCAGCAGCGTGTGGCTGTGGGGGTGTCGGGTGATGTTGGAGCGGTCTCCACGTTCAAGTGTCTCATCAGCAGCGTGTGGCTGTGGGGTGTCGGGTGATGTTGGACCGGTCTCCACGTTCCGGTGTCTCATCAGCAGTGTTGTATGTCGGTGTGTCCGGTGATGTTGGACCGGACTCCACGTTTCAGTGTCTCATCAGCAGTGTGTGGCTGTGGGGTGTCGGGTGATGTTGGACCGGTCTCCACGTTCCGGTGTCTCATCAGCAGTGTTGTATGTCGGTGTGTCCGGTGATGTTGGACCGGACTCCACGTTTCAGTGTCTCATCAGCAGCGTGTGGCTGTGGGGGTGTCGGGTGATGTCCGAGCGGTCTCCACGTTTCAGTGTCTCATCAGCAGCGTGTGGCTGTGGGGGTGTCGGGTGATGTCCGAGCGGTCTCCACGTTTCAGTGTCTCATCAGCAGCGTGTGGCTGTGGGGGTGTCGGGTGATGTTGGAGCGGTCTCCACGTTACGGTGTCTCATCAGCAGCGTGTGGCTGTGGGGGTGTCCGGTGATGTTGGAGCGGTCTCCACGTTCCGGTGTCTCATCAGCAGTGTTGTCTGTCGGTGTGTGGGGTTGGTGGGCCGCGTGGAGAGCAGAGCGCCGGCCATGTGCGTGGGCTGCGTCGTGACGGCGTTCCCCGCCCGGGGCTCCACCTGCCTGGAGACCGGCGCCTTCCTCCTCAACTTCGCCGCCTGTGCCGCCTGCAGGCGCCGCGACACCGTGGACGCCCGCGGCCGGCAGGTGCGGCGGCCCGGGGGCGGTGGCCGCCGGCAGCGCCGCCGTGGGGCGACCGGTGCCGTGACCGCCGGCGGTGGTGGCGGCGGTGGTGGCGGTGAAGGTGGTGATGATGGCGAAGGGATTGGTGGTGGTGGTGGTGGTGACGGTGGTGGTGGAAGAGGTAGTGGTGGCAGTGGTGGTGAAGGCGTTGATGGTGGCGGCAGTGGCGGCGGTGGTGGCTGTGAAGGTGGTGATGGTGGTGATGGTGGTGAAGGGATTGGTGGTGGTGGTGGTGACGGTGGTGGTGGAGGAGGTGGTGGTGACAGTGGTGGTGAAGGCGTTGATGGTGGTGGTGGCGGTGGTGGCGGCGTTGATGGTGGTGGTGGCGGTGGTGGCAGTCGTGATGAAGGCGTTGGTAGCAGTGGTGGCGTTGATGGTGGTGGTGATGGTGGTGGTGGCAGTCGTGGTGAAGGCGTTGGTAGCGTTGTTGGTGTTGATGGTGGTGGTGGTGGCGTTGATGGTGGTGGTGATGGCGGTGGTGGCAGTGGCGGTGGTGGCGAGCGGCGCACGCGAGAGGCGCGGGAGGGAAGCAATGACGGCGACGGCGACGACGATGATGACGACGACGACGAAGACGACGAGGAGGAGGAGGACGACGATGAGGACGACGACGATGACGACGAGGAGGAGGAGGTAGTGACGTACGAGCACGTGTGCGCGGCGTGCGGCCACACGGTGGCCACGCACGAGTTCACGTGCGCGCTGTCCGGGGGCTACCGGGCGTACGCCATGCACTGCCTGCTGTGCGGGCGTGCCGAGCGCGAGGTCAGCGTGATGCCACACGACCCGCGCTGGGCACTCGCCTCGTTCTGAGGCACGCGGGCGCGCGGATTGATGGAGGGGTTGGTGGGCCGATTGACTGATTGATGGGCTGAGTGATGAACTAATTGATGGACTGTTTGATGAACGAATTGATGGTTGCATGCACTGATTGATTAATGGACGGATTGATATATAGATTGATTTACTGATTGATGGGCTGACTGATAAACTAATTGATGGACTGATTGATGGGCTGATTGATGAACAAATTGATGGATGCATGCACTGATTGATTAATGGATGGATTGATGGACAGATTGATTGACTGATTGATGGGCTGTGATAAACTCATTGATGGACTGTTTGATGAACGAATTGATGGTTGCATGCGCTGATTGATTAATGGACGGATTGATGGACAGATTGATTGACTGATTGATGGGCTGAGTGATAAACTAATTGATGGACTGTTTGATGAGCAAATTGATGAATGCATGCACCGATTGATTAATGGATGGATTGATATATAGATTGATTGACTGATTGATGGGCTGACTGATAAACTAATTGATGGACTGATTGATGGGCTAATTGATGAACAAATTGATCGATGCATGCACTGATTGATTAATGGATGGATTGATTGACTGATTGATGGGCTGAGTGATAAACTCATTGATGGACTGTTTGATGAACGAATTGATGGTTGCATGTGCTGATTGATTAATGGATTGATGGACAGATTGATTGACTGATTGATGGGCTGAGTGATAACCTAATTGATGGACTGTTTGATGAACGAATTGATGGTTGCATGCACTGATTGATTAATGGACGGATTGATGGACAGATTGATTGACTGATTGATGGGCTGACTGATAAGCTAAGTGATGGACTGATTGATGGGCTGATTGATGAACAAATTGATGGATGCATGCACTGATTGATTAATGGATGGATTGATGGATAGATTGATGGGCTGAGTGATAAACTAATTGATGGACTGATTGATGGACTGTGATGAACAAATTTATGGATGCATGCACTGATTGATTAATGGATGGATTGATGGATAGATTGATTGACTGATTGATGGGCTGACTGATAAACTAATTTATGGACTGAATGATGGGCTGATGAACAAATTGATGGATGCATGCACTGATTAATGGACGGATTGATGGACAGATTTATTGACTGATTGATGGGCTGAGTGATAAACTAATTGATGGACTGATTAATGGACTGTTTGATGAACAAATTTATGGATGTATGTGTAGTGACTCAACCCGGAGACAGTAATACTTAGAGGCACTTATTTTTTATTAACAAACACCATCGGAGTAACACAACACCCTACGTGGGTGCACACTATGATTATTATGAAGACCGTCTATTGTCGGCGGCACTACTAGGTTAGAACAGTTGGTAGGCCGTCTGACTAACAGCGCCCCGGGATGGTGAAGACGGAGATGACGACGAGGAGATGACGACGACGGTGGCCTTGAGCAGCACGACGGGGATCCCGCTTCCAGCGACAGCCCCCGAGCTCCCGCTCAGGGCCCCCTTTTATACTCCCAGCGCGGATTTGCTCCGCCCCGGCCACGCCCCCTTTCTGGAACCTCCTGGCGGGTTCCCGGGGCTCCCCGATTGGCCCCTTCTATGAACTTTCCCCGAGATCTCCCCCTCTCGTATATACCGTGGCCTGCTGGCCTGAGTACTTCTGTTCACCGCAGTTCCCCTTTTCCGCCAGCAGCCAGCGCTATACTCCTACATATGCACTGATTGATGAATGGACGGATTGATGGACAGATTGATTGACCGATTGATGGACTGAGTGATAAACTAATTGATGGACTCATTGATGGACTGCTTAATGAACGAATTGATGGATGCATGCACTGATTGATTAATGGGCAGATTGATGGATGGATTTATGGAATGATTGATTGCTGGGTGGATAGTTGTATTGAATGGTGAATGGATTGATGGATGTGGTTGATTGACGTGTTTTTGTTATAGTTTGGTGGTCGTATTGCCCAATAAAATTCGCACTCCTGGGCGCTCAAGGACTGGATGTCCTCTGTCTGTGCGTCTTCGTCCCTCTCCCTCGCTGCTTTCTCGCAAATTCATTTTCTCAAAGGCGAAACATGGACACACCTCCCGTTTATTACAGATTCGTTTTATTCGTTCATATACCCCACCACCACCACTCCTCTGCACACCCCAAAGAATTCACCCCTTCTACCATGATCCTAGTAGCAAAAGTAACAAATGCTACGGGCCCCGGCAACTTTCAAGGGCCCCGCGCTAAACGCTTTCAAGCTATAAATTCCGGTTCAGTGATTCTGCACTTGCTCTATTACTATAGTACTATACCGCCCTTCAACTTATGAACGACTGGGTGTTTAAGGTTTGCGATTTGTCGTATTATCTAGTTGTATAGAAAATGAAAACATACAATTACTTTACTCTGCAAGTTAAACATATATGTGTTTGAATATTTACATGTTTTAATATATATTTTTAAATCTAGGGCCCCTTTATAACAACGCATGCTGCAGGCCCCGTACTAGCTTCGTCCGGCACTGTCTGTTACTATAGTACTATACTGCCTTTCAACTTTTAGCCTTCATCCGGCGCTGACAGCGGTGCCGGGAAAAATGTTGCCACGTTTCATCAAAATTCACCGGCAGGAGCGCTTCCTTCTGTGGGCGAGGCCCCTCGTTGGCAACACGATCCCTGACTGGCAGGGTGACATCGAAATTCGGTCACAGTCCTTTGTGATCACTGTTACGTTGCAATTATGGCCTTATTTTTTTTGGTGATTTGGAAAAGTTTTATTGGTTTGGACATGTTTGTGTTGTAGTACAGAGTTAGACTGATGGCCTTAATCTGAGTTTTCTTGTGGTTGTTGTTGTTTGACTTGCATCCCCACTGGGATTGTTTGCACACACAGCGTTGGTGGTGTACGGTGCTTTTTTCAGGAATATTTTTGCTGGGTTTTTTTCCATGGATTTTCTGTTTTGCGCACAGTCAACACACGTAGTAGTCACTTTAAGATGTTTTTCTTGTTCGTGTTTTTGTTTGTTGTGGTTGCACCCGATTCAAGAGCCGAATGGCTCACAGGGCTATACCAAAATAAACTGAACTGAACTGACTGCTCCACGCCTTCTGCCACGCAGGCACTGCTGCCCTCTGGACGGCGGAGTGTTGTGTATATTGGGTCTTGAAAAATTCTACAAATTAAATGCAAATTGAACGTGCAATTTTCCGATATTATGCTAATTTGTGTAATTATGCAAAGTATGCGCTTATGCTCATTTGGAAGGTGTACTGTATGAAGTTATGCAAGTGCATGTAATTATGCTAATTTTTGATAATTAGGCTCGGCTTTGTTATCTAGGGTTGTAATATCAATCAGGATATTATCGTTGAGTTTCACTTTAACGTTTGCTGATTATGTTTTAGTGCGTTTATGTCAGCTCTCAAAATTCAGATCTCGCCGCAGGAACAGTTCTTAGAATTAAGATTCTTAAGCATGAACTTAGGAAGGCACCACTCAGACACTTCTGTGTTAAGCAACTTTAATTTCTAAATAAAAACACGCAACACTCCAATATGCGAACTCTTATGCTAGGAATGTCAACACAGTACTCCTGGAGATGTCCTCCTCATTGATCCGTACATTTAAGCCTCAATGGTTTTGTTTGTTAAACTGGATAACAGAACAGGCGGCTAATTCCTCGGTGAAGTAAAGCGAGCATATACGGCGATAGGAAAAGGTCCTTAAAAATTAATGAGACAATATTCACGCGAACAGTAATAAAGAAACGTCCCGAAAGCAAAAGTAGACCTCGATGAATTTATTGGCAAGATCATGCAATTAACGGCATGTCTTGGAACAATGTTGTACGGAAGTGTGCCTGTCTGTCTAGAAAATGCTTATCAATTGCCTAAGGCTTCAATAAATTCGCGGATTCTGTGATCAAAAGAAAGATTGCAACACAATATTCTCCCTGTGAATGTGTAGATTCGTAACATAGATGTCTCTAAATGTTTAATTTCATCAATGAATTCATTGGTACAGTTATGCAATTAACAAAAATAATTACTAAAATAATAATTCTTGGTTCTTTCAGTAAAATCACGTAGAATGGAAATAAAATAATAGAAATAAAACATTAAAATTCTACGTGGTGACTTTACCAGAAGAACCAAGAAGATGAATCCCTGCAGTCACGAAAGCTTTAAATCGAAATAATTACTAAAATACTTCAAACGACCATATCCACGCAGCTCAATGGGTAGCAATGCTGTTCACGATCAGCTAAGGTTTAGCGCACCACCTCAGGATGGCCCTGTTCGAAACACAAGGAGAACTTTTGGAGTACTCTTATTAGTCCCGACATGTGCGCCGGTCACACTCTCTTTTTTGCACCAGGCACGGTTGGTCCTTTCAGACTTGACCTTTGCAGGAGTGTGAGCTGCCACTCTCTTTCTGCCCCCCCCCCCAACCTTATTTCTTATTTAAGCTGCTGTTCATCCCTCTCTCTCTCCTTGCCTCTGTCCGTCTTTCTTACTGACCATGTACCTCGTATTTTCACTCTGTCTATGCTGGTTTGTGCAATCCAGAAGTTGAACACGAAATTTAACACTCTTCTGAAATTCGTAGTCCGCCAGGAAGTGTCTAACTGTGTTGTTGGCCTGACTGGTTGTGCTCCACATAATGTTTTTTAGGTTTGTTAAATTCTCGTCTCTCATCTTTTTTGTTGTATTTACCTCCATGATTTGTTCTTTCCATGATTTGTTCTTGACACCTGATGAAGATCGCTTGTGTTGTGATCCAAACGTCGTGATTGTTTTGTTTTAATGTAATTGTATTGTATTTCTACATACGTGACTTTACCGAAAAAAAACAATGAGTCGTGGGGGTAGTCGTTAGCCGCCGCTGCTGCTGGTCCTGTAGCGATGCTCGCTTGGTCGATGCTTGGCGCTGTTCCGCCCTTTCTCCATGTTGATTGCTTGTCGTTCTTCTCTCTGGCTGCAGCCGCTGGTGGGGGGCTGGCACTCAATGTATTATACAACTTTTTAGCGATGCTTCGTTTTGTCAGCGCCGAACTCGTACTCGGTGACACATCGCTACCCTGCAAGCCTCGCCGTGCTTGGTCGACTGCGTGGCTCACCCCCCGGAGTTTGCCGCAGCAAGACTCCGTTGGTCTTCGTAGACTCGTGGCTACTGCCGATGCAGCTCCCTATCGGTGTGCCTGTCACGGGGGCAGATTCCCGGAGCCTGCCGCTTGCAGAACTGAATTGTGTGTGTTGTGTCCCTGCCTATATCTGAAATACTCTCCCCTCGGCTTGCCTTCTCACAAAGGACCGGAATTCCTTTGATTTCGCTCTCAGCTTGTGGGGGCAGTTGTTTTTGTTCGGTGTACGTGCGTGTGTGCGCGTGCGTGTATGTTCTGATTTATTAAAGGAACTGTTACGTTTCATCAAGGCCTGGTTCCTGTCCCCCTCCTCAAGCCATCTCGCCAACTGTGGAAACAGATGCTTCAATTGCCCCTAAGTATGTTTTTCTAGTTTTTCAACTTTCGCAAGTTGGGGTGTTACATTCTCTTGTCTCTCACAAAGAGAGGGGTACTGTGGCCTTTGAAGTCCTCTCATGCACCGGTTGGAAGTAAAAAATATAATTTTACATCTTACAGCTTGGGTTTACGGTACTTCCATCGTGTTTTGGACTTTTCGTGGTGTTTGATATTTCAAGTGGAGGCGCCCTCCCTGCATTTGTGATGTATTGCTGCCACGTGCTTCTGGAAGACAAAGGCGGTTGGGGGGCTCTTATTCTATGGAACACATTATCTTGGTCGTGTGTGATTGACCTGTTTGGCATTGTATTCTTCTGGATGACCCTCGGTCTAATACTCTTTGGTTTTATTCGGTAAAGTCACGTAGGTAAAAAAAAAAACATTAAAATAAAAGAAAACAATTAAAACACGACGTTTCGGCCACAACACAAGTGGCCTTCTTCAGGTGAAGGAACGGAAACGGTCGGGACGACGGCGCTTCAGTGACCGCTGCTAAGATTCGCAACGTCTTTTAAGCTCGGTGGGAGGAGCAGGGCGCCTTGACAAAGGAGTTTACATGTCAACAATAGCTGTGTTGAAGTGTTGAAGCAGCAGGGTGTTAAAGTCAGAAAATTAGCATGTAACTGGGGGATTAGCATGTTTTTGTTGTGTAGAGGGTGCGGGAGATGGGTCACTGTGTGTGTGCAATAGAAACGGAAATTGGAAAAATTAAAGATCGGCAAGAATGTGCTGTAAGGGGGGGAGCAGGAAACATGGGAAAAAGAAAAGCTTAAATACAGGTTAAGGGGGGGGGGGTGGGAGGAGCCATGTAGGGGGACCTTGGTGGGGTGCGCGGCTGAGTTAATCCGTCTATTGTTGTGTAGAGGTCTAATACTTCATAATTGTTATTTGAATTTTGATTTAAAGCTTCCGTGACTGCAGTAATCCATATTCTTAGCTCTTTCGGTAAAGTCACGTTGAAGGGAAACAATAAAATAATAAAATATATATAAAACAATAGAAATTCTCACGACGTTTCGACCATAACCTGATGACGACCGTTTGTGTTATGGTCGAAACGTCGTGAGAATTTTTATTGTTTTGGGGGGAGCTGACTTCAATATTCTGAGATATCTCAGCGCGTTTATGTTTTCCAATGGGCGCCACAAATGTATAAAACAAATTTTATTGGATTTGAACGCGGAGTTTATGAATAGGTCGGAGCCGCCGACGTGGCTAATAAGTTCGGTAAGTTCGAAAGGCTGCCGCTCAAGCAGCCTGCAGGGCAGCAGCACAAGGTGGTAGCCTGCAGGGCAGCACAAGGTGACAGCCTGCAGGGCAGCAGCACAAGGTGGCAGCTAGCAGGGCAGCACAAGGTGGCAGCTAGCAGGGCAGCACAAAGTGGCAGCCTGCAGGGTAGCACACAAGGTGGCAGCCTGTAGGGCAGCACGAGGTGGCAGCTTGCAGGGCAGCACACAAGGTGGCAGCCTGCAGGGTAGCACGAGGTGACAGCCTGCAGGGTAGCACACAAGGTGGCAGCCTGCAGGGTAGCACGAGGTGACAGCCTGCAGGGCAGCACGAGGTGGCAGCCTGCAGCATTTTGCAACAGCCGGATATATCCGGTTATCCCAGTTACCGACTTTCCCAAAATTTCAAGGGGGGCTGAGCCCCAGCCCCCCAGCCCCCCCCCCTATGGCTCTGCCCCTGCTGTATATCCAACAGGAGGAGGGGTCCACTTAGCTTGAGGTGGTGGGCAAACGAAGTAAAGAGAAGAGGAATTTTTTTTCGGATTCGGTTAAAATAAATAAAACCTCGAAATCACGGGGTGCTTCCAAAAAGATGTTTTAACGCTTCTGAAAAATTTGCAACAACACCACAAGAAATGTGCCTCCGCCAGGCTCTGGAGGACCACCTGGAGAATATTCCAGGCGTGTGTTGACAATGATGGCGAACAAGTGAGATAGATCTTGACTTAAAGCTTTCATGACTGCAGGAATTCATATTCTTTGGGGCTTTCGGTAAAGTCGCGTAGATAGGCTCAAAGAAAATAACCAAAAGATATGCCAAGATATTTTGTTCGTTATTCAAAGAAAATAACCAAAAAAATATACCGATATGTTTTTTTCGTTATTCAAAGAAAATACCAAAAAAATATACCAAAATATTTTTTTGTTATTCTCTTTATACCAAAAAATATACCAAAATATTTTTTTTTGTTATTCTCTTTGTACCAAAAAATATACCAAAATATTTTTTTGTTATTCTCTTTATACCAAAAAATATACCAAAATATTTTTTTGTTATTTTCTTTATACCAAAAAATATACCAAAATATTTTTTTGTTATTCTCTTTTTACCAAAAAATATACCAAAATATGTTTTCGTTATTTTCTTTGAACCTATCTACGTGACTTTACCGAAAGACCCAAAGAAGTGGGATAGACTCTGACCCTTTGAAGCTATTAACATTACATTTGTCATGTCACGCTGTATTATTATCCATTCCTTTTTCATTAAAAACGACGGTCCCATTTAAGCGATAAAATAACATTTTAAGCAGCCCGCATTTCGAGAGCCTCCAACGTGCGCTGCTGTGGAATACCGGACGGCCGACGGTCCGTGATAAACGAAGAGAGCCACCGGCAGGTCGCCTGGCCCCCTGCCGTGAGCTAGACTGCGGTGGGGCCGTGCCAACGCCTGACGCGAGGCTGCGAGCCGCTTAACCAAGCCCCACCTGGGACCCAAAAGCTGCCCCCGCCATCATCCCGGGGCCGCCGGGCCTCTCGGTGAGTTTGATGACCGCTCTCGTGAAGTAGATCGCCTTGACGACGACTCGCAGCCACTTGCCCGACTGGATCCACCCGAACCTATCCATCAGCTCGGCCACCAGGTCCAGTCCCGTTTGCAGCGCGAACAGAACGTTATCCACGTAGACGCGCCACTTGGGCGACGGCCCGAAGGGACCCGCGTCCGGCCCTTCGGCTTCGGCCGCTGCCGCCCCCGGGAGGTCGGGCAGCGTCTTCTGGAGCGCGCTCAGAACCTTGACGGCCATCGCCAGGTCCAGCGCCTCGCCGCCCCTCTTCCTCTCGTCGTCCCCCCGCTCGGATTCCCCCAGACACTCTGCGAGGGCCGCCACCACCGCGGCCACCTTCCGCAACGCCACGGCCTCTTCTGCCCGGCTCTCCACGTCCGCCGAGAGGCCCAGGGCCTTGACGAGCAAGCGGAGCGCCTTGACGACGGCCTCGGAGGCGACGGCGGTCGATGTGGCGGTTGAACCCGTGGTCAAGGTCGGGCCTTCCACGGTCGCCGCGCCGATCGGCCCGATTGCCCGGAACAACCTGCCGGCCCTCGCCAAGCCCTCGACCTTGGAGCCCAGCTCGTCCCGGCTCTCCGCCAACCTCCCGTCCAGCGCGCCAAGCATCAGGTTCATCGCCTCCGTGCCAACCACGTGGAGGGTCCAGTGGGGCGCGGCTGTCGTCGGAGTGGCCGCGTGCTTGGGTCCGCCGGCCATTTTGTTATCTGGGTGGGGAGGTTGGGGGGGGGTGGAGAGAAACAAAATGGTGGCCGTTTCCTAGCCTAGAGCCGCGTCGTTTGGGCAATTTGGTGACACTTTTGGTTTCATTCCGCTGGGGGATCACAGTCTCCCCGTACTTGGGGCGACTGACTGTGTGGGTTAGAAACGAGGTGGATAGGTGCATCATTCACCGTCAGCAACAGCCATGATAAATCGACTGCTGGATGAAGGCATCGCTCCCTGCCCATAGGCTCAACACTGCACCATAGACTCAACACTGCACCATCAACTTAACACTGCCCATAGACTCAACACTGCACCATCAACATAACACTGCGCATAGACTCAACACTGCCCATAGACTCAACACTGCACCATTAACTCGAAACTGCACCACAGACTCAACACTGCACCATAGACTCAAAACTGCCCATAGACTCAACATTGCACCATAGACTAAACATTGCACCAAAGACTCAACACTGCACCATAGACTCAACACTGCACCATAGACTCAACACTGCACCATAGACTAAACACTGCACCATAGACTCAACACTGCACCATAGACTCAACACTGCACCATAGACTCAACACTGCACCATAGACTCAAAACTGCACCATCGACTCAACACTGCCCATAGACTCAACACTGCACCATAGACTCAACACTGCCCATAGACTCAACACTGTCCATAGACTCAACACTGCACCATAGACTCAACACTGCACCATAGACGCAACACTGCACCATAGACTCAACACTGCACCATAGACTCAACACTGCCCATAGACTCAACACTGCACCATCAACTCAACACTGCCCATAGACTCAACACTGCACCAAAGACTCAACACTGCACCATCAACTCAACACTGCACCATAGACTCAACACTGCACCATAGACTCAACACTGCACCATAGCCTCACACTGCCCATAGACTCAACACTGCACCATAGACTCAACACTGCACCATAGACTCAACACTGCACCATAGACTCAACACTGCACCAAAGACTCAACATTGCACCATCAACTCAACACTGCCCATAGACTCAACACTGTCCATAGACTCAACACTGCACCATAGCCTCACACTGCCCATAGACTCAACACTGCACCATAGACTCAACACTGCACCATAGACTCAACACTGCACCATAGACTCAACACTGCACCATAGACTCAACACTGCACCATAGACTCAACACTGCACCAAAGACTCAACATTGCACCATCAACTCAACACTGCCCATAGACTCAACACTGTCCATAGACTCAACACTGCACCATAGACTCAACACTGCACCAAAGACTCAACACTGCACCATCAACTCAACACTGCACCATAGACTCAACACTGCACCATCAACTCAACACTGCACCATAGACTCAACACTGCACCATAGACTCAACACTGCCCATAGACTCAACACTGCCCATAGACTCAGCACTGTCCATAGACTCAACACTGTCCATAGACTCAACACTGCACCATAGACTCAACACTGCACCATCGACGCAACACTGCACCATAGACTCAACACTGCCGATAGACTCAAAACTGCCCATAGACTCAACACTGTCCATAGACTCAACACTGCACCATAGACTCAACATTGCCCATAGACTCAACACTGCACCAAAGACTCAACATTGCACCATCAACTCAACACTGCCCATAGACTCAACACTGCACCATAGACTCAACACTGCACCAGAGACTCAACACTGCCCATAGACTCAACACTGCCCATAGACTCAACACTGTCCATAGACTCAACACTGCACCATAGACTCAACATTGCCCATAGACTCAACACTGCACCAAAGACTCAACATTGCACCATCAACTCAACACTGCCCATAGACTCAACACTGTCCATAGACTCAACACTGCACCATAGACTCAACACTGCACCAAAGACTGAACACTGCACCATCAACTCAACACTGCACCATAGACTCAACACTGCACCATCAACTCAACACTGCACCATAGACTCAACACTGCACCATAGACTCAACACTGCCCATAGACTCAACACTGCCCATAGACTCAACATTGTCCATAGACTCCACACTGTCCATAGACTCAACACTGCACCATAGACTCAACACTGCACCATAGACTCAACACTCCATAGACTCAACACTACACCATAGACTCAACACTGCCCATAGACTCAACACTGCCCATAGACTCAACACTGCACCATAGACTCAACACTGCACCATAGACTCAACACCGCGCCATAGACTCAACACTGCCCATAGACTCAACACTGTCCATAGACTCTACACTGTCCATAGACTCAACACTGCACCATAGACTCAACACTGCACCATCGACGCAACACTGCACCATAGACTCAACACTGCCCATAGACTCAACACTGCCCATAGACTCAACACTGCACCATAGACTCAACACTGCACCATAGACTCAACACCGCACCATAGACTCAACACTGCCCATAGACTCAACACTGTCCATAGACTCAACACTGTCCATAGACTCAACACTGCACCATAGACTCAACACTGCACCATCGACGAAACACTGCACCATAGACTCAACACTGCCCATAGACTCAACACTGCACCATAGACTCAACACTGCACCATAGACTCAACACTGCACCATAGACTCGACACTGCACCATAGACTCAACACTGCCCATAGACTCAACACTGCCCATAGACTCAACACTGCCCATTGACTCAACATTGCACTATAGACTCAACACTGCACCATAAACTCAACACTTCACCATCAACTCAACACTGCACCATAGACTCAACACTGCACCATAGACTCAACACTGCACCATAGACTCAACACTGCCCATAGACTCAACACTGCCCATAGACTCAACACTGTCCAAAGACACTGTCCATAGACTCAACACTGCACCATAGACTCAACACTGCACCATAGACGCAACACTGCACCATAGACTCAACACAGCCCATAGACTCAACACTGCACCATAGCCTCAACACTGCACCATAGACTCAACACTGCACCATAGACTCAACACTGCACCATAGACTCAACACTGCCCATAGACTCAACACTGCCCATAGACTCAACACTGTCCATAGACTCAACACTGCACCATAGACTCAACATTGCCCATAGACTCAACACTGCACCAAAGACTCAACATTGCACCATCAACTCAACACTGCCCATAGACTCAACACTGTCCATAGACTCAACACCGCACCATAGACTCAACACTGCACCAAAGACTCAACACTGCACCATCAACTCAACACTGCACCATAGACTCAACACTGCACCATCAACTCAACACTGCACCATAGACTCAACAATGCACCATAGACTCAACACTGCCCATAGACTCAACACTGCCCATAGACTCAGCACTGTCCATAGACTCAACACTGTCCATAGACTCAACACTGCACCATCGACGCAACACTGCACCATAGACTCAACACTGCCCATAGACTCAACACTGCCCATAGACTCAACACTGCACCATAGACTCAACACTGCACCAAAGACTCAACACGGCACCATCAACTCAACACTGCACCATAGACTCAACACTGCACCATAGACTCAACACTGCACCATAGACTCAACACTGCACCATAGACTCAACACTGCACCATAGACTCAACACTGCCCATAGACTCAACACTGCCCATAGACTCAACACTGCCCATTGACTCAACATTGCACTATAGACTCAACACTGCACCATAAACTCAACACTTCACCATCAACTCAACACTGCACCATAGACTCAACACTGCACCATAGACTCAACACTGCACCATAGACTCAACACTGCCCATAGACTCAACACTGCCCATAGACTCAACACTGTCCAAAGACACTGTCCATAGACTCAACACTGCACCATAGACTCAACACTGCACCATAGACGCAACACTGCACCATAGACTCAACACAGCCCATAGACTCAACACTGCACCATAGCCTCAACACTGCACCATAGACTCAACACTGCACCATAGACTCAACACTGCACCATAGACTCAACACTGCCCATAGACTCAACACTGCCCATAGACTCAACACTGTCCATAGACTCAACACTGCACCATAGACTCAACATTGCCCATAGACTCAACACTGCACCAAAGACTCAACATTGCACCATCAACTCAACACTGCCCATAGACTCAACACTGTCCATAGACTCAACACTGCACCATAGACTCAACACTGCACCAAAGACTCAACACTGCACCATCAACTCAACACTGCACCATAGACTCAACACTGCACCATCAACTCAACACTGCACCATAGACTCAACACTGCACCATAGACTCAACACTGCCCATAGACTCAACACTGCCCATAGACTCAGCACTGTCCATAGACTCAACACTGTCCATAGACTCAACACTGCACCATAGACTCAACACTGCACCATCGACGCAACACTGCACCATACACTCAACACTGCCCATAGACTCAACACTGCACCATAGACTCAACACTGCACCATAGACTCAACACTGCACCATAGACTCAACACTGCACCATAGCCTCAACACTGCCCATAGACTCAACACTGCACCATAGACTCAACACTGCACCATAGACTCAACACCGCACCATAGACTCAACACTGCCCATAGACTCAACACTGTCCATAGACTCATCACTGTCCATAGACTCAACACTGCACCATAGACTCAACACTGCACCATCGACGCAACACTGCACCATAGACTCAACACTGCCCATAGACTCAACACTGCCCTTAGACTCAACACTGCACCATAGACTCAACACTGCACCAAAGACTCAACACGGCACCATAAACTCAACACTGCACCATAGACTCAACACTGCACCATAGACTCAACACTGCACCATAGACTCAACACCGCACCATAGACTCAACACTGCACCATAGACTCAACACTGCCCATAGACTCAACACTGCACCATAGACTCAACACTGCACCATAGACTCAACACTGCACCA